AGCCACCCAACCACCTCTCCATCCATCATCAACCCCTCCAACCCTCAACCCTTCCATCCATCCAACCACGTCTCCATCCGTCCATCCACCCACTGCTCCCTCTCCCTGGCACAGGCAGACGGGGATGGGCCTGGGGGGCACCATGGCCCGCGTGGGTGGCATGGTGGCCCCGTTGGTGCGCATGGCAGCTGACGTGACCCCGGTGCTGCCCCTCGTCATCTACGGGGCTGCCCCCATCATCTCGGCCATCGCCACGTGCTTCCTGCCCGAGACCCGCAACATGCCCCTGCCCGAGACCGTCAAGGACGTCGAGAGACGGTGAGGAGCTCCCCAGGGCAGCGGCCTTGGCCACCCCGAGGGACCCCGTCCCCACCAGATCCCCTTTTTCTCCCCGATCCTTTTGTGGTGGACGCAACGGGTGGGGGGTGAAATCCTCCTATTAGGGCGAGATGGCTTTCTTGGAGGAACGCAGAATGTTTTGGGGAGAGAAGGGTTGAGGGTTTTGGGGTAAGAAGGGACAAAAAGGGACAAAGGTTTGGGGGTGAGAAGGGATGAAAAGGGATGAAAGTTTTGGGGTTAGTAAGGGGCGAAAGTCTTAGGGTTGGGAAGGGATGAAGGTTTTGGGGTGAGAAGGGACGAAAAGAGATGAAGGTTTTGGGGTTGGGAAGGGATGAAGGTTTTGGGGCGAGAAGGGATGAAGGTTTTGGGGCGAGAAGGGACAAAAAGAGATGAAGGTTTTGGGGTTGGGAAGGGATGAAGGTTTTGGGGTGAGAAGGGATGAAAGGGGATGAAGGTTTTGGGGTGAGAAGGGACGAAAAGAGATGAAGGTTTGGGGGTTGGGAAGGGATGAAGGTTTTGGGGCGAGAAGGGACCAAGGTTTTGGGGAAGAAAGGTTGAAGGTTTTGGGGTTTCTCTTCCCCCGGTGCGGCCACAGAGCAGGTCACCTCAAGGACGAGGAGGTCACCGTCCCCCTGAGCACCACCAAGACCAAGGACGGCGTCTGAGGGGGAAGAGGACGGGCATCGGGGACACCTGGGTCCCGCCGGGCCAGTGGGGACGGGGGGGACCAGACCCTCAGGGGGACACGTCCCCCCACCCCAGAGTCGATATCCCCCACCCGGACGCTATTTATTTAATCCCAATAAAACCTCATTGCAACACTGGTGTTTGATATCAACCGCTGCCCTCCCGGGGGTCCCCCCAACCCCCCTGAGGGAACCCAGACGTTCGGGGACCCCCACCCTGACCCCCCCCAAAGGAGGATAACGAGGATTGATTTCCCCCATGTATTACCCAGACACCTGGGTCCTGGTTCTCAAGCTCTGGCCTTTGCCCCAATTCGGGTGATTTAGCTGCAAAATAAATCTGCAAACAGATTAATTCTCATGTCAAGCCAGGGTCAGCAGGTGGCAAAAGCCCCTAATGGGGCAGATTTTACCCCAAAAACCAGGACAGCCCAACCCCAAGAGCAGCCCTCAGAGAAGCCACATCCAAGCACCTAAATATCTGGTTTTCACCCCAAAAAAACAGGGCAGCCTAACCCTAGTGTTAGCCCTCAGAGAAGCCACATCCAAGCACCTAAATATCTGGTTTTCACCCCAAAAAAACAGGGCAGCCTAACCCTAGTGTTAGCCCTCAGAGAAGCCACATCCCAGCACCTAAAGATCTGGTTTTTACCCCAAACCCAGGCACCCCCCCAACACACCAGTGCCCCAAACCTCCCCATTTTTTCCCCAAAACATCCTCACTTCCACATCATTGCATTTTTTATCCATTTTTATTATGAAAACAAGCTGTTTTGGTGTCGCTTCGTTTGTTTTTTTTTTTCCGGATAAGACACAACCGTGAAGCTTTGCCGAGGGGAAATTGGGGTAAAACCCACCCGTTTAGGGACATTTTATTGTCCCGCCCCCGTCAGGGCGCGAAAATGGGGGAAAACCCACCCATTTTTAACCAAAACGCCTTCATTTCCACCCGAATCGCGCTCAAGGAGGGGAAGGAGAGAAACCACCGGGCTGGAGCTGTTTTGTCACCCAGATCCTTTTTTTTTTTTTTTTTTGGTGTGGCAGTATTTTTTAGAGATTTTGGTAAATTTTGAGCAGTTTTTGTTGATATGGAGCTATTTCAGTCACTTTTGGGGCTGTTTTGGTCATTTTGGGGGGCTATTTTGGGGCCATTTTTCTGCTAATGGGCCCGGTTTTGGGGCTGCTCTGCTGCCATCCCGGTTGGCTCCTCTCTTTTGGGGGGTTCTCGGAGGTGAAATTCAGGGTGTAGTGGCAGGGAGGAGGGGTTTGGAGGTAGGTTTTTAAAGTTGATTTTTAGAAAAAACAGGCACATTCAGTCAACGGGACCCTTGGGGGGGGCGGACGGGGATATTGGGGTGTCCCCAGAGAGCCCCAAAACAGTGGCATCTCCTATCTCTCCCCGTCAGCGGCATTTTGGGGGTGAAAGTGGCTTTTCCCCCCCAAAAGAAATCCCCCCAAACCCCAAAACAAACCCTGTGCGACCGTGACGGGTTGGGGGGGGGGATGGGGGACGGGGCGAAGCGTTTCTCCCTCTGCGCCATGTGGGAGCAAGGGAAAACCCCCAAATGGAGGGGTTTTGCCCCGTTTTGCGCCAGCTGGAGGAGGAAGTGGGGGAAAATCCCAAGACGGAGGGATTTTGCCCTGTTTCATGCCGGCCGGAAGAGGATGTCGGGGTGTAAGGCCTCATCTGGGCGGGGGGGGACTGGCCAGGCTGTGGGGAGCATCCTCCGAGGCGGGAGAGACGGCGAGGCAAAAAGAAATGATAAAAACGGGGAGAAAAATAGGAAATAAAAATAAAAGCAGAGGAAACAATCTCACCCCACCCAAAACCCAAGAAATTAACAAAAAGCCCCAAAACCGCAACTGCAGCCGGCGCAGGGGTCTGAATTTTCCCAAGAAAAGGGGGGAAAAAGCGAGTTTTTTGGCACGCTGCGTTGCCAGGGAGGTGGTGGAGTGGATTCGGGCACCTCGTTTTGGGTGGAAACCTGGGAAACGGCGACGGGAAGGACAGCCCTGTCCCATCCGTGTTCCCTGGGTGGGGATAGGGTCCCCCCAGGGACTCTGCAGTGTCACCCCAAAAACCACTCTGCAGGGTGGGGACCCGTCAGCGTCACCCCGTCCTCACAGGGGGACATGCCCCATCTCGCTGTGGGGAGGTGAGAAATAAACCCTCGCGCGGCAAAAATGAATAAAATAAACCCCGACACCCCCTCCCCAAGCGGTAAAAAAAAACCCCAAACAAAAAAAAAACCCCAAACCAACCCCAAATCAACCAAAAACATGGGGAAGGTTTAAAAAAAGAAAAAAAAAAAAAAAGAAAAAAGATCCAAAAAAAAAAAAACAAAAACCCCAAGGGAAAACACGTGGAACGAGGGCACCGGGGAGCCCGTCCCGCCGGCGGAGCGGGATCAGGAGTTGTTCTGGTTCTGGTAGATGGAGGCTTTTTCCTTCAGCAGGTCCAGACACAAGTGGCAGCTCCAGCTCCCTGAGGAGAGAAGTACACGTGGGTTCCCTGGTTTCGCCCTCGTTAGGGCTTCGTTAAGGGTCACAGCTTCCTAATTACATGTAGGGAATAAGGAACGGGGTGGAAGGGTGGTAGTTTACACGGCTGTTTGTGGGTTTGTGAACCTGCAAGTCTTCCTCCTCCTCGTTAACCTTCAAGTGAAGGTGGCCAGGAGAGGGGTTCATAATTAACCGCTGGGATAATTAACCAGCTGCAAGGCGTCATTGAGATTTTGGGGTTTGTTTTTTTTTTTGTTGTGAACACTGTTCTTTTTTGCTTCGACGCCGTGAGTCAGCACAAGACAAGGTGGGAGGAAGAGGAGGGGAAGAAGAAGAGCGATCCCTCTCAGCTTCACCAGCCGATACGGAGACATTTTGGGGTGCAAGGGATGAGGGATGTTGGTGATGGATTTTGGGGTGGTAAAAGGTTTTTCCGCTTCTCCAGCAGAGGAATAACTGGGGAACAGCCAGAATGATGGACCTCATCATTTTCGATTGTGGCATGACAAATCCACGATCACCCCCCAAAAAAACCATGGGTCGAAGCGGGTCTGCACGGCTGAGAAATGTTCTGGGCTGAATTCTGCTTGTTTTGACCCACTTCCAAAACAGAGAGGGAAGACGGGGTTTGGGGGGGGCCGGGGGGAGCGGCACTCACCTTCCGGCGGCTCCGACATGGGGGGGGTGAGACAGTACATGTGGTAGCCGCGGTCGCAGTCATCACAGAAGAGCAGCTGGTCCTAAGCCGAGCGGGGGGGGAAAAGGGGGGGAAATTCGGATGATTCAACGCGGCCTTGGCTTAAGGACAACACGGAGGGGACGAGGGTCCCGCTCTGTCGTCCTCCAAGTTCCGTCGGAGCGACCAGAAAGACATCGCCGTGTCCTCCAGACTACAAAAAGCACAATCTTCCCCTCGCTCCCAAAAGATTTTGCCACATCTTACAGACTATTAAAGCCCAATAATTTCCCCCCAAAAAGACTCTCCCACGTCCTACAGACTACTAAAGCCCAAAGATTTCTCCGCAAAAAAGACTCTGCTGTGCCCTTCTGTCTCTTAAAGACCAAAGATTTTCCCCCCAAAAAGCCTCTGACATGTCCTACGGACTATTAAAAGCACAAAAATTTCCCCCAGAAAGGCTGCTTTGTGCTACAGAACGTTAAAAGCCCAATGATTTCCCCCAAAAAAAGATTCTGCTGTGTCCTACAGATTATTAAAATACACAGATTTTCCCCCCCAAAAGCCTCTGACGTCCTACGGACTATTAAAACCTCATCCCCAACAGAAGAGGCTGCTCACAGACCCTCCGGGCTTTTCCCCATCCCTTCTCCATGGGGCCAGATGGGATGACACCCTGGGGTGTCCTCGGAGGGTGCCCTGCTTCTTCTCGGGGGCGGACACTCATGTCATTCTTGGGGGTACTCGGGCAATTCTGGGGGGTACTCAATCATTCTGGGGGTACTCACGTAATTTTTGGGGGGTACTCACATAATTCCTAGGGGGTACTCACATCATTCTCGGAGGTGCCGCAGATATTGCAGCACTTGCACTCGATGCACTGCCAGCGGTACGTCTTGACGGCCGCCATCATCACGGGGGTGAACTGCAGGCAGGAGGGGTGCCCTGGGAAGCAGGCAGGACACGAGTGAAGGCAGGGGAGGGGAGGAAGGCAGCCCACGCAACCATGGGGTTGGGGAAGAACTCCACGGCAGGGAAAAAATCCACCTTCTCCCCAGCTCTGACCCAAATCCCCGGCTTTTCCGGGCAGGCGAAGACGCCGGGGATATTTTTGGCAATGCCGGCGGTGGGGAGGATGTTTTTCCCCCCTCCCTTACCTGATCGCCCACAGTCCGAGCACGAGACCAACTCCTCCGGTTGTCCCGTCTTCTTGTTGATTTTGGAGTCTCCCAGGCAGAAATCGCAGTAGTTGTTGGGCAAAGCTAAGCCGTCAGGTCCCTTCTTGGCTGGAAAAGCAGAGCGGGAGAGACAGATTAGCCACAGGGCAAAGGCTTTCTACATGGGACCAGGAAAAAACACTTCCACGGCACAAATCCCGATGCTCGGAGCAGCCTTTCCGGCAACCTCCGAGCCCCAGGGCGACGCCACGGGGCTCAGAAGCATCAGGGAAGGGATGCTGCTCGCTCCCAGCCCTGGCAGAGGCCATTTCCTGGCTTTGCCATCTTTTTCACGATGGGGATTTTGGCAGAGGGGGGGTGTTTCGCTTACATTTCTGCTCCTCCGATCGCTGCGAGACAGGAGTTGGGGGCTGCGAATCGTCCTTGTCGTCGCCTTCTTCCTCGGCCAGGTGGGAGTGAGCATAGTGGTAGCTCAATCCTGGCCGATTCTTGTATCGCTTCCCGCAGACTACGGATAGAAATGGGAAAAGTCTGAGCTCACGCTGGCGGGGAGCGAGACCCCCACCCCAAATCATCCAGCATCCCCTGGCCCTGTCTCCGGGCTTTGAGCGCAGACGGCTGCTCCCCTTCTGTCCCCAAATCACCTGGAATTTATTAAAACCACCTAAGAACACCCTAATGAAGGGGTTTGGGCTGGATCCTCCAGATCAGGTCCATAACAGCCAGAGAGGCACCGCAGCCTCCTCTGCACATCCCACCGCGGGAGGCTAAAGCTGATTCAGTGGGCGATCGATACCCACCACGTCCAAATAACGATGGCAGCTCGTTAAGCGCAGCTTTACAGCCCTCGGTAAAGGAGTGAAACCATGCAGGGATCAATCCGAGTGGCAAAACCCGGTCGGAAAGACACTGACAGGGCGTGGTGTCACGTCCCACCCAAAAATCATCTCCTAAACCAGCTGGGTAAAAATCAAGGCCGCCTTCAATGTCCATGAAGGGGAAACTTCTTTTTTTTGGGACCCCGAGGAGAGAAACTGCAGCTGCCACAGGCACATTTCGGCTCTGCTCCCTCCTCAGACCCACCTGGCTTCTCCAAACCTGAGCTGAGTGCGGCGTGAAATCACCCACCGCCCCAAACGCCATCGGTTTGCCCACTTTCCGCCCCGTTTCTTGCGGGGATTGGGAACTTTCACCCTCGGTTTGACAGCAGGCACTTCCTTGGGGAAATCTCTGAGCACCCATGGATTGGGTAAGCACCTTCCCTGCCAGGGAATGGGCTCCCAGCTCACCGTCACCGCTTTTCGGGGCGGGGGGAGTTGGCAGCTTTTTAGTTGTGAGGCTCCAAGGACACCCCAAAACTCCCTTTCAGCCCTGTATAGGCACGAGCACGAAGCCGGCACTGGCCTTGCACCCTCCTACTGCCAGCACAGTAGAGGACAGAGGCTGGCAAGGCACGAGGATGAAGATTGGGCTGAAATCCCCCCCAAAAGAGCCAGAGGGGGATTTACGGGCCCTGGTGGACAGATTTAGCAACGGGTTTTCCCTGTGTCTTTCTGCAGCATCCAGGCAAATCAGGGAAAAAGTTGTTTTGGGATGAGATTTCCTGAGACTGGAGTTTTTCCTGTAACATCCCGGACCCTTTCTGGATCGGCTTCCAGGCTTGCTTTGAAGCCTGGAGAAACCCCACCAGGGTTTGCATCCCTTCTCAAGCCATTGACTCACTCCAAAAATATGGTGGGGAGAAAGCAGTCCGCTCACCAAAAATGGGGTTTGAACCCCCCCAAGAGAGCCCGATGCAAGCAGCCGGCATCGGCTTTTTGGGACAAAAGCCACAGAGATTCTCCCCGGGCAAAAGGGTCTGTGGGATGCTCGGGATGCTCATCGCCCTGGGGGAAAGACTCGGCATCAGCAGGCCTGGAGCACCTCGGCACAGCAGCACAAGCCCAGCCGAAGGAAGCAAAAAGCAGCCCGAAAAGCAGCAATTACAACCTTATTACATCAAATTCTGGCTTTCCAGAGCCAACCAAGGGCACAATGGGGCCGGCCCCGTGAGCAGCCACGCGGAGCTGGCAGGCAGCGTTTTCTTCCCCCCCCGCCCTCCCTCCACCCCCCGCAGGGTTTAAAATTGACCTTTTTTCCCTCCAAAACAAGCAGGCCGGTATCTAAACACGAGTTGAGTTTCCTCCTCCCGAACAGCGAGGAAGAAGAGCCCCCACAAAGACGATCTCGGCTCTCTGGCTTGGCTGCGGGTGTTTATTCGCAGCCCGCCGCCAGCATTCAACCTCCACCTGCAGCTGACCCATTTTGGGGCTTTTTTTGAAGCAAAAAGGTGGGGTATTTTTTGCGAGACAAGTGGCAACATACTTCGGCATCTCTTAAAAGGAAGGCGGCACATCCCGGGTGCACGGGATTTGGGAGCGAGGGAAGGGGTTTGGTGGAAACACCGTGGGTTTTTTCCCATCCCTGCCACTGCGGGAGGGCAGGGGGATTAATCTTTGTTTTCCCTCTCGGGAGGCCGCTCTGCCGGCACGCACGACCGCTCTTCCCCGCTGGAAAAGGGTCAGGCGAGCCGGAGAGGAGCTGCTGAATCCTGCTGCCGGCGGGGAGGCCAGCTTTGACGTCGCTCGGTGGCCTTTGGCTTCTCCCTCCCCTTCTCCCGTGTCCCTTCCCGCCCCGTCCCTTTTCCCGCAGGCTCCAGCAAGGTTTGGTGAAAACAAAAAACAAAACTAACGTTTCGGGAGAAGAAAGGCAGGAAGGAAATAAAAAAAGCAGACAGAGAGTGGACTACCTCGATCGGGAGGTTTCAAGGTATGCTTTTGTTTGTAACTATCTGAAACACAGAAAGAGAGTCGTGAGAAAACACACACACACCAGGTCACGCACCCGTGCCAAGCGACAGACGGACTCTTAAAACAAGAAAAAGGGGGAGGAAAAACACAGCTACTTTGGGTTTGGGGGTGGGTTTTTTTGGAAGAAGCTAGTGTCAGCTCTTGCAGGACAGGAGGAAGAAGAGAGAAAGGTAATTTCAAAGCCTCACTTGCCCTTTTTTGCTCCGTTTGCCCTGTTAAATTGCTTTTTTGCTTGTTTTTAACTCCCCTTCCCCAGCTTGAGGAGGAGGAGGGAGGTGAGGAGGAAGCATTGTCAACCCTGGGCTCGCAGAGAAGCGGGCCAGGAAGGTATGGCCTCGGAAATCAAATCCCTGCCCCTGGAGCTGAGGAGGTTTTTTAGCCAGAGCAGAACCAGCGCACGGTGTTGCGTTTCACAGCTACAAACTCATTAAGTGGCTTTAACGAGGCACAATAGCGCAAGGGGTGGGGCGGGGGCTACGGCCGGCTTCGAAACCAGTCTGACGGACACAGATCCAACTTGAAAGCTGGCTGGGAAAACTGAGGGGCTCTTTTCAACCTTTGCGGGGGTGTTTGCAAGACCGGGAAAGGTTTATCCTCATTTCTACGTGCCGGGTGGCTGCACCGCCCTTCGCTCGGGGCGAGATGACCGTGCTCCCGGTGGGAAAACTCCAGCCATCTTTGACCGTTGGAAGAGGGCTGAGAGTCCGAGGGGTTCAAAAACACCCTCCCCTGGATGTGTAAATCTACCTTTTGAGGTTTAAAACCCAAATCCCAGCAGACAACCCGATGGATCCCAAAAGTAACACAGCCTGGCTCCACTCCCAAGCCCTAAGCGGCGAGGAGAGGTTTTTAGTACTCACTGTCGCAAGCGTAGGGTTTATCCCTGTCTTCTAATATAGCTGCATCCAGCTTCTTGCGAGCCCCTCCGACACCTTTGCCCTGGGAAAAACAAGGGGAAAAAGCCAAGGTTTAGGCAAAATTGGGACGCAAAAGGCTCTTGGGTGGTGGGGAAGACAACACCAGGGATCTGATGTTGGAGAAAAGCGTGATCCAACAGTGCCACGTAGTGGGTACAGCCTGAAATGGCTGTTGGATGCGAGCAGCGAGGACTGCTGCATGGGGCAGAAGGCACCGAAGGATGACCCAAATCCCTCAGGATCCTCAGTCTTTCCCACTTTGGGAAGGGGCAGATCCATGTGAGATCTCTCTACCATCCTCTCACCACCCGGTATCTCTCGCATGGTAGGCAGTTTTCAGTGACTAACATTCAATAGTGGCTAATGGACATGAGTTATCCAAGCCCCCGGCTTGTGTTTTCTGCTCATCCTGCCCGCAAAGTCAAGCATGTCAAGAGTTTTCCCCAATGCAAGGTTCAACACAGACACAGTCGAGCCCTGGCAGGCGTCAGGGCTGTTTCAGCACCGGCAACATCTCGGATTTGCCAGGAATCACCACCAAAACAACGCTGCAACGCAGTCAGACCCACCCGGCTGCCCTCACCTTGGCTTTCCCCTTCCCTCTCCGCTTCGGCGTATCTTCTTCATAGTCTTCATCGTCCAAATCATCCAGGAAGTCATCTGGCTCAAGAATCCGCTAGGAAAGAGGAGAGGGATTATTGTAGACAAATCCTTGGCATGGATCGAGGGAAAAGGGGGAAAAATTGGGGAGTGAGATACATCGGCATGGCCTCAGTCTTCCGTCAGCAGCCAAATCCGTTCCAAACCTGTAATCCAGAAGGAGGAGAAAGGATGTGGTATTTTGGGGGATAGAGAGGGGATTTGGTACATTTTATCCCCCCAAAAGTGACAGAAGGGCCCAATAGAGTGTGAAGACTCTTGAAGAAAGAGTCATCAAGGAAAAGGCAAAAAGAGACGAGGCTTGGAAAAAATTTTCATGCTAAGAAGTGCCATAGAAAAGTCCAGGAAGAGGAACATAAGGTTTTTTAGCAAAATTACAACGCAATATCGCACACCTTGCTCTGCCCTGTGCTTATTTGAGGGGATATCTATTAAACCACAGCCATTGGTGGGTAAGGAGGTGAAGCTGAAGCCTGCAGGATATCACCTATCGTTAAAGCAGTCAGCTAACGAAGCGGCCTAAAGAAAACCAACTCGCCTTGTGAGGACTGCAACAGGAAAAAGGATTTGGTGGTGCAGGACGTCCCCTCCAGCCTGAACTGGGGCTAATCCGTACCAACCCGGGCTGAGATCTGCTAAGCCGAGGCTTTCCACCCCACAGATCACACCTGTGGGGTGTTTTTGGCAATAAAAAGCAGCTATGACAGCGATCGCGGTGGGTTTAAAGTCTGATTTGCAGCTCTGAGGGGAAAAGGGGGAGCTCCTACAATCCCAGTGTCAATTAACAGTAAAGCACTGGCAAGTCTGATGAAGGATGGAGAGCAGGGAAGGTTTTATCCAGCTCCAGACCTCAGTAGACCCTTAATATTTAAAAAAGCTTCCGAGTTGTGCCAAATCAGGGTGAAAAGGGGCTGTTGGACCCAAATTATCCAGCTGAGGGAGGAAAGCGGGAAGACCCCAGTCCCTTTTGTCTGTTTTTAAAATAAATTTGCTATAAAGAAAAGAAGGAGATGGCAGGGTCAGGGACTGGCACCTCAGAATCTCAGCAGATCACTCCCCCACCACAGACATTTCACAAGGGTCTGTGGGTCAATGAGGGATGAAAGCTGTCCTGGGTGCAGAGACACCTAGCGCAGAATCTTAGACTGGGTGCCTGGACACAATAAAACCCTGAATTTTGGGGCCAGAAACTCCCTTCCCTTGAATTTTGGGGCCAGAAACTCCCTTCTCCTGAATTTTGGGGCCAGAAACTCCCTTCCCCTGAATTTTGGGGCCAGAAAGTCCCTTCCCCTGAATTTTGGGGCCAGAAACTCCCTTCCCCTGAATTTTGGGGCCAGAAACTCCCTTCCCCTGAATTTTGGAGAGTTTCTAACCAGATCTCCAGTGGCCCCGCAAAGCTGGTAGCATCATCTCTGCCCCCCAAAATCCATCCCAAATACTTCTGCTGCGGCTAAAAGATGCAGAGAAAGCAGAGGGGAAGAGGAAGGGGGTGGAAAATCAGAGCGGTGTTGTGGAGATGCACATGTTTTACCCTGAAGCTTCCTTTCCCAACACAGGGGGTGACCCTCTCTCTGCCGTACCTTCCGCGCACGGCTGTTGGTGACAGGGAACTCGCCCAGGCTGTCGTCGTCGATGCGGGGGTCCGGGAGGGCACGTTTCTCCAACGGGTCAGTCCTCAACAGGGCTTCCAGGCTGCTGCCGTCCTGAGAGATCAGCCCTTCCTTCTTCAGGGTCTGATCGGTGTCTGCAAGGAGACGGTGGGGGGAAAGGGAAAAGAAAAATCAGGGTGGAACATTGGTGTGTGCCAAGATCCCATCTCACCCAGCCATGTTCGCAAGCTTCCCCACCGCAGCAGGGTCAGGCGAAGGGGTTTACCAACCCTCACCGACGTTTACCATCATTCGGTGCTACTTGGGCACGGTATTGCCAAAACCTCCCCACCCCTTAGCATGTGAAGAAAGCTGTGGTGGGAAGGATTTACCCGGTTTGATAGAAGGGAAGGAAAGCCTCGGGTCCTCCGGAGGATGAGCACGGCGTTTCTTCCGCCAGCGGCGCGCGGGGTAGGAGTAAAGCTGCCCAGCGGCTAAACCTTTAATTAAAAAAAACCAAACAAATTATCTGAGGCGATGACACGCACAGACCCCTTGTCCCCAACCCAGCATTTTCCTGGCGTACCTGGCCCTCGGTGACGTTTCTCCATCCAGATGTAGCAGTTGCTTTGGGCCACCCCGGTCTGGGAGTCGAGGAAAGGGAGGCGGACGCTCCTCTCGGCACACAGACGGGCGTTATAGTTGTGGCACTGCTCCATGGCATCCCTGTAGTACTGTTCCCCAAGGCTGCCGGGTGAAAAGAGGTTCAGCACTCACCCCATCCATCCCGAGCCCCAATTCCAGCCCCGGCACATGTCCGTCGGGAGAGGGAAACGCCATGGTCCTTCCTGGACCCCTGCTCAGAGGAATCACAGCCCAAAATATCTGCTCCGCAAGGTGAAAACACGATTTGACGCGATATTCACCGAGTATGGAGACATCCCCTCATCTAGCAAAAGCACAGAGACACGGGGACTGCTGCGACAGGCGATTAGAGCCTTCCTCACCGCCGGCAGACAAAATGTAGCATCGTTAAGAGATCCCCTCGGCATTAAAAGATCCCCTCAGCATTTTGCGTGCCCCCAAAGCCTTTTGTGAGAAGCCTGCGCCAGCATCTACGCATTACTAATGGATTTGAGTGGCTGTGGGCATCTCTCTGGTTTCCTTAAGTGCATTAATCGTGCCCCATACTCTTTACTAAGAGCACGACCTCTCCGTGCCACACCACTACGTTCCTCCTTCAACCGGAGACTGTCAGGGCTGCAACAGCCACCATTGCAGCCCTGTAGCTGTAATTACAGTAATTTGGATGGCGAGTTCTTCCCACCGTGTGTGGCAGGGAGAGGGGAAGAGCTGAGAGTCTGTTCGGCTGCCGGAGATGGAATTTTTCACTCTGCGGTGCCGGGAGAGGAGACACACTCTTTGTTTGTATCGATACATACTGATCTTGGCGCTTCAATACCAGCTGGAACAAATGCACAGAGCCCAAGGAGCCCCGTAATCACCCAAGCTCCTGAGATGGCTAATTTAGACGAGTGAATAACGAGCCGAAAGATGCCTCGGTTGCCTGAGAGGAAGAACATGCGCTACACGAAATATCTTGCCCAACGGAAGAAAAGGAGATGGGACAGAAATTGCTTCGTCGCGGGGGTTTTTATTCCAGTGTAAGTAAAAGTCGGATGTGTGGGGAGATGGCCTGAAGAAAACCAACAGGAAGAGAGGGAATAACTGAACAGAAGAAGATACTGATAAATATTAAATGCAAACAAGGATTGCCATGCTTGTTTCCTCACGGAGCCTGGTCAGCCGCAGCTGTGACAGAGAAATGGGGTTTGTCTCACCGCGCTGGGTGAGACAGCAGCGATTTTGGGAGGGGGAGCGGTGTCCCAGTAGCAATTAAGGGTGATGAAAAAAGTCCCAAATTGCCTTTTTCTCTCTGCTGACTGCAGAGGGAGCCCAAATCCCAGGCTCAGGCGACTGTCACACTCATGGAGTTAGGGGATATAAATCCCTCCTGGAGCTTTTAATTTCCTCCTAAATCACCACACCGTTCCTGGCTAGCTCAAGTTGCGCCCCAATAACCAAAAATGTGGAACCCTAAAACTTCCTTGTAATGTCCAGGGGAAGCCCTGCCAACAGGAGGATTGCACAGAGGAGGAAAACTTGGTGTTTACAGTAATACAACCCCGAAAAGAGTTTAGTTGTCCAACTTATTTCTCTCCTGCTGGCTTGATTTCTGAGTTTGGGGAGGGCGGGGGGAGCAAAAAAGAGGCAATCAGCCCCCAAAACAATCATCTGCGGTTGTTTTAACTGCAAATTAACAGAGGGCTCCTGGGCTGGGTGAGAAATGCACCAGGATTTGGCTTCGGCACCTAAAAAAGCTTCGTGAAATGGGTTTTAAAGTGCTCCCTGAGCACCGAGGGGATGGAGAGGGACCACGGCAAACATTAGGAGCAGAGATCTTGTCTCCAACTCCGACGTACAACTCCACAATCTTCCCTTACGCTGGTTGGAGGTCTTTGTCCCCAAAACCGAGGGGTGCTTCGAGCATGGATGCTTGCCGATCCTCACATGCAACCACAGAACAACCTCGAGAAAGCTCTGCTGAGAAGCGCCACTTAAAATCTGTGCTGAATGCACAAGCAAAGAACTAACGAAGCCGTCAGGAAGGACTAATGTGTTTTAAACGGCTCTAACGAACCCAATTATTGTTCCCTGTGGACTCAGCGCGGCTTAGAGCCTTCCACAGCTGCTAAGCAAGTCATAAGTGCCCTCAAGAGCAGCTTCCAGTAAAGCACATCACGTCAGCGGATTGCTGTGGAAGTAACTGGGTGGTTTTATATGTTTAGCACCATCGGTAAGAGATTGCAGCATGGAAACAGCCAAAAAAAATGGTGCAACTACCTCCATCCCCAAAACCGCCAGGAAAAGGCACAGTGGGCTTCGTGCCGAGGTGGGTAACATGCACCTGCGCAAGAAGGGGAGTGATTTAAAGCCCCAAAAAGTCGTCGTCAGAGACCATCCTAACCCAACCGCTGCCGTTGTCTGGAGAAAAACAAAGCAGGGAGGTATTTGATAGACCAAACTCTTTGCCGACGGTACCCAGAGATATGAGAACGACCGAAGGAATGGCTTTAAAAAGTAAAAAAAAAAAAAAAAAAAAAAAAAAAAAAACCCCCC